TATATTTTTGTCATCTTATCTCTCCATTTAACTGTACTTCGTTTGAAAAAACTACTCCGCCTCTCGGAAAAGGTCCGCTATCAGTCAGCCGTGACCTCTGCACGTTATCGGTGAAAGTTCACCAAACATGGCCAATGTTTTTTCGTCCTGTCTAAACGATAACAGAATTTTGTTTGAAATTATCTCAAGTGTATTAAACGTTACAAATATTTATATATGTTAAGTTGAACATAAGTACATTGATCTTTGATAAACATTTCTCCGATAATGTGTGTAAAAAAAGAGTTGCTCCCTATCACATATCAATTTCGCTTATTAATAATATGCATCTTCGTCAGGCTTGGGACTATAGCTCATTTTTATTTTTAATTATTTGCAATCATGATGCGATTTATTATTATTAACATTCATTTGCTTTAAACGAAATATTACTAATGATTAAACGTCATAATTTGTGTATGTGTGAACAATTGATTTAACAATTTTTTTGAAAGTTTAGTGACTTCAAATTAGAATCCAAATTTATAGCAAAATATTTTACTTTATTTAAATATACATTCATCTTAACATATATATGTCAAGGAATTAGGAGTTTTAATAATGTTAAGAGTACACTAATAGTTTTTTTTTTTCTTTTTTTAAATTCGGAAAATTTTATCGAATTTATTCTTAACTTAATTTTTCGCTCAGGACGTTTCGGTTTGCTTATGGTCACAGGAGGACTGTAGAGTTTTATGTCCTAATGCCATTGTCAACCCTGGATCACTTTAGCTTTAAACTACTATCGTATCATCGTCCAATTTATGAATAAAGAAATTATTAATTAATATAATCAGGTGTTACTTTGCGGAAGTCCATTATATTAAAGTTGGCAAAAAATTACTTCGCGTACATCCGCTCGATAAAATAAAATGATGTGTCAATTGCGTGCACTATCACCGTCACCACTAATCCCAGCACCACTACTCCCAACACCACTACACTAGGAAAGACACACCACTGACGACAATACGACACGTGTTTCGCCTCTACACGAGGCATCTTCAGGTAATCTAGACTCTGCGGTGGCTGACCGCTAAGTGAGCGGCGAGCCAATACAACTCCTATTTTTTTTTTATAGAATCAAGGTGACTAACGAGCACACAGTCCACCCGATGGCAAATGGCTGCCGTGGCCCATAGACATCTACATCTATCCTCGATTACGAGTCAAAATGCAGATGCGTTGTCACCCGTGAGGACTAAGATGGAATGCCTCGTTTCCAGTAAAAAGGGTCTTCGGTTCTCTACACTCACTATACGAAACACAGCAGCGTTATGCTGCTATTTTACGCTGGTATTCTGTGAGAGCGTGGTCCTTCCCCGGTCGAGCCGACCCATTCGTGCTACAACTATACCAGTAATATAGCTGCAGCGTGGCTCTACCACGTTTTTAAAACATTTATACAGACTCTCTTCTGCTCTTCAAACTAGGTAAGACACATCATTTTATTTTATCGAGCTCATGTGAGCGAAGTAATTTTTTGCCAACTTTAAAGAAGTTATTGTATTTTGAATTCCTGTCGTAGTATTAATTTTAAATACTTGTTTGATTTTAATTTTATTATAACAGGATTCAAAGTGGCCTGAAGAAAAGACGATTGGATGTTAGTCGTCTTTTCTATTGAAATAAAGATGTTTTTTTTTATTTAATCTAGATAATTATTCTTGATTTATGGTCTGTTCAACCTTATGGCGAGAGATGTATTGAATATGGCCGAAGACAGACACGCTCTAAGAATTATGTAGTATTTAAATCTATAGAAATATTACTACCTATAAACTTAATTACTTTCACCAGTCACCAATTATTTCTTTTGTTTCTTTACAAACTTTCAACAAAAATTCTCTATCAACATCCCAACTGTCCTGACGGAAATTCGACGCTAACATTGGACAAAGTTGGGTGCAAACATGAAAGTTTAGTTTAGTTGGTAGGTTCAGTGATCATTACATCAAAGGGAAGTTTAGGTTAGTTTGTGCGACAGGTGTCTTTTGTCATGGTTGTGATTATTTGTATGTTAGTTACTGTAAGGATTTTGTACTGTATTCCTATGGCAGCTGTAAGAGAAATGCCGATAAATGTTATGGTCTACGATAGATGGCGGTATAGTAGCGCGAACCTTCTGATATATCTAAGTAGTATATTAATCGCAAACGTAGCTCCTTACACCCTGAGAGGTCTGTGTCCAATAAACAGTTCATTACGGGCCCGCAGCATTAATTCCGTTTTTTAATATTCAAAAACTGAAGGCAGCCGGGCTATGTACGACATTGGGACATCAAACATCTCAGTTCCCCCCTCCCCCCTCCATGACCATCACCGAAACGTCGGGAATTAAAAATAATGCGATAAATCTATAAAAATAGTTTTATTCGATATGTAATATTCGCGTAAATATAACAAATCATTGGATAACATAGAATAAAAAATAATAATACTTTCACATGTGTACTTAAGTCTCCCTAATGACAATCATAATAAAAATCTTATACGAAGCCACAAAATGAGACTATTTTTTCTTCTGCTTCTTCATTATAATTTAAAATTACAATAATTTCGGGTTTTATTTCATATAAAAAATTTATGACCACATTGTAAAAACTATCCACAGGCCTCCTGTCATTTCTACAAGAGTAATGGGAATGCTATAAAGCGCCTGAAATAGCGCGAATTTAACGATGAAATAATTGAGCTGTGAATTCTGAAAATTAAATTTTAATAACTAAAGTATTAAATATCTAGTCTTTTTTAGTTAAATAGGATCCAAATATATGCAGACAGTTGTAGTCGAAAGTCCATAAATAAAGAAATATAATATCCTGATATAATACCTCGGATAATAATTAAACCGCGGACTCGTTACGTAATTACGTGTTCTGTTTATTTTTTAAAATTTTACTGTTATTATTATTAATCTTTTAAACCGCGGCATAAATGTCTCATTTCGAAATGTAAGGAAGCGAGCGTTTTAACCACTAAACCGCCTCCAGCTTCCAATAGCTAGGACCATTGCGGTTACGTTGAGTCTTGAGTAATCGGCCTATTTGTCAACCGCTTATACCTAGAAAGGTTCCAAATTAGCCTATAATTTATTAAAGGATAAGTTGACTTAGCATAATCTTTTCTGAAGAAACATGATGTTGCGGATTGCATTAGTGGAATAATTATTCATAGAATAAAAATAATAGTTTTTAGAAGCTCGTTGTGGGTGAATTGCATATTTACTCACCTAGTAAAATTGTAATAAATTTATTTATTATTACCTGACTGCCCCAGAAAAAGGGGAATGTTTTTGAGAGTATGGTATGTATGTCTATTTCTTTTGCATGCTCTGTGACCTAAACGCCTTGAAGAATTTTAACATACGAGGTGTCGTTAGTGTCGTCATAATTGTGGGAGTGACTAAGACTATATAAAGTAAAGTAAGTAAAAGACTGTATAAGTCACTCCCACAATGAGGGCATCTACGACTTTTTCTGTCACCAGGGCGGCGCCACTAGAAAGTGAGGTATAATATTTGACAGATTTCATAGCGGGGAAGTTAATTTGTTAGGAAAATGTAAAGATTAATGTTTCTTTCTGTACTATTGGCTATACTTTATATTAATAAGATTAAAAATAAATAAACCAAACCACAGATAGTCATAAAAGCAGAAAAATTTAAAAAAATGTTAACAATGTGCAAAAAAATTATGAGCAAACCACTGACGCATTGTTTTGTATATTAATATAATACTCTAGAAACTGATAAACTTTTACTAAAAACCAACTTCTCAATTAAATTACATTGTGTAACAAAAAACGGTGTCAACTAGCGACATCTGGTGAGCAGATTATTATTAGCCCTCATTATCATGACACATTTATAATATATTACACCTGCAAATACAAAGCAAAGGGGAAGGCTTTTTTTGTCCGAGTTTTTTAATTACTGGTTTAACTATTAAGCTTATATCGACAATGACAATCATTAAAAAAGTATAAAAAGTACATTTATAGAATAAGGGTGACAAACGAGCACACAATTCTCCTGGAAAAGTACCTACTACCCTTCCAAACCTAACCAAATTTCCTTAGGATCCATTTTGTCTTTCAAGGGTGATTGAAGGACAAATATTACAAAAATAGAATCAAATTTTTATAATATCACAGAATAAATGGGGCTCTTTATTATGCTCAATCAGAACGTGTCAAAAATGTACATGTGGTGGCAAGATGTAGTGACGAGTTTATGCTCCAAAATTGAGTGGCAGAGTCGGCAAGTGACGTGCTAAGCGAATTTTATCGATCAAATTGGCGATATATTGAAGATGCCAAAGAGAGAGAGACATCTAAAGATTAAGTCAAATGGAATTCCGTAGTTTCTACCTACTCCCACTAAGCGATAGGCGTGAGATTTTTAATGCTGTTAACTGACCCTTTATTTAATCCTATTTTTTACCGCGTTTTTCCGTTTTAACTCGCTTTCTTGTATGTTCAGTACAAACTTTTTGATGAGCCAAAACCTTGAAATAGACTAGATAAGACTGGATATTATAAACATAGCTTACAACTGGATGATAACGCAATATTAACTTACTTTTTGTCTGATCAGTACAAAAGCAATCGATTTCAACCCACTTCCCCATGCGTTGGAGGTTTGAAAATTTAAATATAGCTTAGGACTAAAATCATAGTAAAAATGTTTGTCTTTTTAATTTTAATGCATTCTATTCCAAGATATAATGTACTTTTATTTAGTACTTCATTGGAATACATCCGTCCGTAGTGGAAGCGTGATTGAATATCATACATACATTTACATTTATAATATTAAGGAAGTAAAAGACTAAGTACATTTTATGAAATGCATTACTATTAAATCACATACGTAATTAATATTCTTTCCTTGTTACAGATTTTGCAGAATTCGAACAAAATTATGTAACAGTGCTTCATAAGTGTGTTAGAAATCCAAAATGACGTTCTGGTGTAGATGTGTTTTTTCCAAAGTGATCAGTGTGGCACTGATCATTATTATCAGTGTAACAATTGGAGTAACCTCGGAGAAAGGAAGGGAGGAGCCACATTCGTTTACGATAGATGAGCTGCTGTCGTCCCATTATGAACACAAGCATTCCGATGATATTGGTATGGATCCTTGTAAAGCTGGTAAGTACCATTTTTTACATTTTTTTTAAGAACAAGGCGATCACTAGTCTAAATGTGACTAAAATTCATAAAATTTTTAGGTTTGTATATTAAGCAAGCAAGTAAGCAATATATAGGGTTAATAAGTAGTATAGGCGAATGGTAAGAAAAATTAGTTTAAATAATCTCACACATTCTGTCCTTTTTATCTTTAAATTCAGAATGCGTGGTAATGTATAATTGATTATCATTCATAAATTTCTAATGCCTGACGTTTTACTATACACGCACACAGTCGTCGCTCGGTAACAAAATTTTGGTACCTTGTCGAGCTTCTTTCCGAGCACTTCCTATCCATTAACCATTACACCGCTAGTTACCTACGTCCGTCGGGCTAGGCGACAGCAGACAGCTGACAGTGTTGACCGTGATCTCATTACGAACAAGTGTGCTACTACTATTATTAAATTTTCGTAAGTAATAGTGTGGATTCGTTGCCAATTACGGAACGAAAATATTCAAACCGCAAATACTATGAAACTATGAAATGGTGCGGTATTACATTTTAAGCAACGAAAATTTACGGGGTGCGCAAAGATTATACGAAAGTGAATCTTCGCCGCGGACACAAATTAACGTACTTGTACTTACCTACCAATCGAAAAACAATTGACAGCTAATCAAACAATTCAAGTGCAGTGAGCGATAATTTAAATAGTGATACGCCATATGCTCTATACTATAATCTGCAAACTCGCCGGAACTTTCACCGTTACTCTTTTAGCTGTGAGGTGAAATAAAGAGTCATATTTACGTCAAGGAGGCCCAAAGTTATAAAAACCGCCTCAGTAAAATTATTTCTGCATTTACGGAAGTTACAAGTGTACGAAATTTCTTCAAGTGTTGAGGCATATAAATGCATAAAACGAATATACCATATGTCATGTGCCGGTTTACCTTGGGTGTTGTAAGAGATGACTATGGGGAATGCCAGAATAATCTAAATGTTTTCGATAAATTAATTTGTATACTTGGGGAGTGCTTTTAGCCGGGATGGAAGATGTGATTTAGATGTGGACAGGCGTGTCGCTGCCGGGAACAAAGTCAATGGTACCCTGACTGCGTTAGTCAAAAGGCAAGGCGTAGCGAAGAGTGCACGCCTTGCAATACATAACGCAGTGTTGGTACCGACTTTGTTATATGGCAGCGAAACCTGGGTATGCCAGAAGAAGCATAAAAGTAAGTTGAATGCAGTGGAGATGCGATCTCTTCGTAAAATGTGTGGCGTTACCATGGCCGACCGAAAGCGAAACGAAGAGATTCGCAATATGGCAAGTTTGAAAGATGACCTTATCACAAAAATTGATAAGGGCGTGCTTCGGTGGTTTGGGCACGTTGAGCGAATGAGTGAAGACCGAATGGTGAAGAAAATATATAGCGCGAAAGTTAATATTAAAAGGTGTCGAGGTAGACCGAGACTAACTTTCGAAGACCATGTGAGCAAATTGCTCGAAGAGGGTAGGGTCAAGAGTACTCGAATACCTAGACGTGCATGCATGAAGAAGATAATGAATCTGAAAGAAGCGAAAGAGGTTTGTAAGGATCGTGACACTTGGCGATCTGTTCTCTCTGGCTACCCCGTCAGGGATTGTGCGTGAAGATAAGTAAGTAAGTAAGTAAGTAAGTTTTCGATAAATAGCGGTAACCATTGTGTTTACACCAGTTGCAAGACACAGAGACCGGCAACTCTGGTATTGATATCTGCACTCCACCTGCTGGCAAATTTTCTAAAACGGAAGAGGCCTATGTCCAGCTGTGTAGATTTACGGGATTATAATATTTATGGCTATTTTCATTACAATGTTTATTAACCGATTGGTGTTTTCGTAATATTTTTTACCAGCAGTACTTCGTTTACTTTAAAAAAATTACAAAAAAGATACATGCGTAGTTTATTTCGTGGTTTCTTCTCCGGTCAGAGGAATCTCATTTAGAAACGGTAGTAGATTTAGCAGCAACAAACGGAATTTATTTTCTTACAACGAAGTAGTAAAGATATTTCATTTCGTATCTCTCATGATTGCGAGTTCGATTAATGTGATTAAGAAAATTTTTCCCATTTAAATATTGTTATAATGAAGTACTATTTTCAGAAGTACAAATTCTTAAAATTAGCAAAATGATCTTACGTTTTTAATAACATACAAAACATAAAACCCTAATTAAAAACATCAGCGAAAACCATATTTGAAGTATTTCCTATTTACTGTTATTAAAAACAAGCAAAACAATAAAAAGGGTTCCTTGATATGGCGAACTGTCGACACGGTCACAATTTAATATGGCTGATTACCTCCGTAACGAGCATCACACCGTCTCATTACGGCGATCCAATTTATGAGACATCGCGGAATTTAAAGTTAACTAGCTGTGCCCGGCATGTGATGCGTAAAAACGAATAAAGAAACACATATTCATATTTTTGTCGGAAATATTTGAGGGCAGACTCATTGGTCTAATGGTCGTACGCGATTCATCATGAGAGTTCGAAACCTGGGGTCATGCCAAAATCAGTCATTGGGTTTTTCAGTCAAGAAATGCTCAGTAAAGCAGTCAAGCATGTAAAGCCGTAGGTCGTACGCCTGTCTCTCTCCGATTGTGTTGACTTGCCATCCCATCGGACTATATGAGTGAGACAATAGAGTGCACCTATGTTTCCGCATACACTCGGGTACTATAATCCTGTCCTGATCTCTGCATAGACTGGCCACCTTGACCGGAATTCGTTCTGGAGGTCATTAAGTTTGTGGTATATAAGTATATGCATAAGACACATAGAAAGTTGGGAACTCATAGGGCTCTTGCCTTGAATTTTATAGAACTTGAGGAACATGTGTTTTGTTAATTTACGGATTTGTTTTTGGTTAGATTCGACCAAAAATTAATATTTAAAGTTTAAAGGTAGTAAAATATCAGGGCGTCAAACACCTTAATGCCTCCGTGGTTATGGGTGCTGTAAATTTTCCGAAACATCGGGAAAATAAAATGAAAATTAATCGCGATAAAATTCGTAAAATTAGTTTTGTTTGATGTGTAATTTTTGCGTAAATATAAGAAGTTTTATATGTTTTATTCACCGCGCTTGCACTGCTAAAATATAAGTAATTTTAGCGCGTGATAAGTGGTGAAATTAAGGGGAAAAAATTGCATAATATTTCGTACTAACAATATTTCGAGGATAAACACTTTCCATCGCTTCTGCTTGCTGAAAATTTAGAAGATCGACCTATGGCAAGCCGTGGGCGTTTTTTACTTTATAATTCAAATCACAAATAGCCTTTTCTCCTGGTAATTTAATATTATAGCTGTCAAACTTTTTACAAAAGTTTTTTTACATCGTAAAGCCATGCTGCAGGTATATTAGTAGTATAGTTGTAGCACGAATGGGTTGGCTTAACCGGGGAAGGACCACACTCTCACAGAATACCAGAGTAAAGTAGCAGCTTAACGCTGCGGTGTTTCGTATGGTGAGTGTAGAGCACCGGAGACCCTTTTTAGTGGGAAGGAGGGATTTAATCTTAGTTCTCACGGGTGAAAACTCATCTGCATTTTGATTCGTAATCGAGGATAGATGTAAATGTCTAAGGGCCGCAGTTATCGCACTTACCATCAAGTGGACTGTGTGCTCGTTTGTCACCCTTATCCTATAAAAAAAAAACTAACTTCGTTAGAACGTTCTATGAATTGAGTCATACAATACAATACTCTTTATTTTACACCAAGGTAGATTAATATAACAAAAGTAAACAAATATTGAGGGAAAAACAAATTCTCCCTTTCGTATTATTGCCACATAGCAATCTCTTTCAGGCAACCCAGAAAAAGGATTAAATAAAAAAGTGAAAGTTATTGTGTGTGAATAAAATAGTAATTCCTTCTATCTTTAATAAAAGATAGAGCTAGTAAAGATTTAATTAAGTCAACACGCGCACAGGCCTCTCATTTCTGAGAGGGCAATTAGATCGCTGCGCTAATCCGGTGCGTGTTGTCGGAATTTACATGTCCTAAAAATATCAATTTTGTATCTTAATCATGCAGCCTGACATTGTTTTCCTTCTCCACGTAACGTGGAACATCTTTTAAATACGAACTCAAAAATGTGTGTATATATATATATATATATATATATATATATATATATATATTAAGCACTATTGTTATTTATATTTGCATCACGCACTATTTAGTAAACTGTTTGCACCTGCGACAGTTACCCAAATCATCCTGGGTTTACTGGAGAAAATGCCATAAGGCATTAAGGCCGCATATAGTTGTAGTAGTATATAATATTGAAGAATACTATATACGTAATGTATTCGAAAACCAAACTGTCAGCCATGCGTTTTAATAATGACAAATCCTACATACGATAGGAGAGATCAGTGTCTAGCAATGAACAATAGGCCATAAAAACAAGCGTCCATAAAAAGTAGCGGTGTTAGTGAAATCCATTACCTTCATAATCCCGTGGCCGAAGTAAGAGGCGACAGATGCTAACTGGAATAGAAGATAGACACACATCTTTTTGATAACGACCCAAAACAAGCGGTAAAATTAAACATTTTCCACAACCGACTTCAATATAATTTATTAAGGATAACTCAAAAACTACTGGTCAAATCTTGATCAAATTTATATGAGAACACACGAGATTGTTAAAATCGGTTTACGTACAAAAGAGTTTTGAGGTAACACACATAAATAAAGAAAAACAAAACAGTCGAATTGAGTACCTCCTCCTTTTAAATTCGGTTAAAACTGCAGTTGTCAACACGTCAGCCAAGAGTGGCAAATATGACAATATGCCCCTTTGAGTGCCTGCCTCTATGAGGAAGACCTATGTTTAGCTGTGGACTATTTTATTAATAAATCTATACATACTTATAAATAAAATTGAAGTGTCTGTCTGTAATATCGAAATAACTGCCTATTATTGACCTGAGGGTGTTATTTACATGCCG